TACTCCCAGCCAATGTTCCCTTATATGTGATGAGTTCTTAGATGTTCTTCCTCAGTGGCCAAATCAATCATTTAAAAGATAAAACATATTTAGAGATTGAGAAGGAACTAGTAAAAACGATGAAGCTCAGGTGTGCCGAATCACTGCTGTCTCACCTCTGATGGGCATCACAGAGGTCACAAGATGTCTAGATAAACTACTTATCCAGGCAGTAACCTCTGTCATCATACCAGTTGGGAACAGATGTTAATAAGTCCCAAATGCAGTTTTACATTTAAGTATATTATGAAATTTTAACTTTATAAACATGTGAAGAACCATATGGCTTTTGTAGTTTAGTGTTTTAACATAGCTGATTGCTAAAAAGATTGTTCCTTTTATATTCATTTGAAAATTCAATTTTTTCCTAATCATAATTTTTTTATTATATGACCTGACTCAGTATTAATAACTACGTTCATATAAATTCAAACTCAGTTTCTTTCTGTGATATTAAAAAATGACAAATGACTATTAAAGCAATTAAAAATCTCCCCTTAGGCAAGAGAATAAGGAAAAATTCAAGCTTTGTTTTTGAGGTAGTATGAACAAAAACCAGTGAGTTGTGGTTTGATTAAATTTAGGCATTGATTTACTGCACAGCTATAGGATTGCCACTGTCTCATTTTCTGACTGATTGATCCCATTCAATAATATATTCCATTTCTGTCCCTATTTTAATTCTTATAATGATTTCATTAATTTGGTGAATAAATGGTATTTCTAGAGAGGTAAAATAATAGCTAATAAAACAAAATAAATTAAGAGGAAGGAAGAAATTTATATGAGAATAAGCCTGATATGATGCAGATTCTAGTTAATAAATAGAATTTTGTATCGATTAGTTCATTTTTAGCAGTCAATTTTCTTATGTAAATGTCTTAATTTTTTTAAAGGAATGAGCAAAGGCATTGGTGTAATCAGTTTATCAAGCCCGTCCTTACTATGATATTTAAATAAAAAATAAATGAAAATTGGATTAGTACAAAATGGGAGAAGCAGCCAGTGACTTAACTTCACTGAAGAGTGTTATTAAAATTATGAACTGATCTGTATTTCACACCCACCGATACACACGTATATTATACACATCTTAATATCTGGAAGTCTTTGTTTTTGAAGGCCTACTTATTAGACCAAAGTCTGATGAATATAGCAGCACAGTTTTTAGTGTATGAAAGGGACTAATTGATATTGCAATTTTTGAAGGAAATTGGAAAACAGAGTTACCAAAAATTATCTGAGCAACAGCAACATAATTGGATTACATATATCACCTCTAAACATGACTCATATGGAGGTACAGTATCTGTTGTGGTTGCTTTAAAAATGTGAATCTCATTAGTTTATAATTAGATCTTGGGACATAACTTAGTTTGAAGGAATTTCTTGTATAGTTAGTGGATGTGTTTTTGTACTCAATGATAAGATGTTTAAGTACCTGAACATAAGATTCAACTAAGATAAATAAAATGATGCTTCCGGTAGTTACAAAAATAGGTGTTAGGCGAAACTGCCCTACTAACTCAGATGCTACAAACATGTTGCTGTAGGCTAATACATCCCATCAGAACATTTGGAGATGAAAATAATTATCAAGTGGATGCTTCAAGTTCTATACAGGGATATAGCTCCATGAGGAGAAATGCAGATGTGATATATCATGCATCCCTTCTACAAATCCACACAAAAAAGCAGTCAGTAAGTCCTTGCTTTCTGCAGGGAAAGGTTCAAATAAAAGAAATCAGGCATATTTGAAAAAAATAAAGACAGAGTGAAGCACAAGAATATTGTAAAAGGAATTATATGGGAACAGAATCATCACTTGTCTGTTTTAATAATGGCAGTCATAATAATTGTAAATATAGGGCAAATCAAATATGCTCTATTGTAAAGAGAAAAGCCCATATCATTTTGTAGTATCATAATACAAGTAAAACACTATCTAATATTGCATTAATTTACTGAGTTATATTGCCTTTTCCTAATTTTTTACAGTATATGTTAGTCTAGACAGAAACCTACTATTTTCTTTAAAAAATACTCTGAACAATGGTAATTTATTAATTATTGAATTATAATTAATCCAATTCTGTGTACCTCACAGGTAAAATAACTTAGATTTTTAATATAATGTCCATACTGCAAACATTTAATACATAGTATCACTCAGTAGTAGTATCTACTAGGCACCTACATGTTTAGATAAAGCATGCATATATTTATTTTTTAAAATAATTTTTAATTCATAATTCATACATTAACAACTAGTGATCAGGTGTGTGTGACTATATGGCACCAAGAAACACCCCCATTTACTTTATTACTTCTTCTCCTATTGAACTTGGAAGGGTAGCAGATCTCCTGTTAGAAGTATCTGAATAATTTAAAGAAACTAAAGTAAGTATTAGAAGAAGTTACTGTCCAATTATGCTGTGAATCTGAAGGAAGAAATTGAATTTGATAAAGATATTGGGTGAGGAGACATGAAAGTTTAATTCAGGTACAATTTTTGTGGCCAACAGAAGACTCCATTTTGTTGATAATTTAAACAGAATGGAGAAATAAGAGGAAAGGAAGATAAATTAAAGAAGGACCACAAAAGATAAAGCAGTCTGAGCTCGGAAAAGATCACTCTAGATAAATTTTGTTGATGGGAGGAAATGAGAGTGAAAACAGAGAATATTAATAATATAGTAAATATATTATGGATAATAGTTTTAAATAAAAAATATATTTTGATAAATATCACTGAAAAGACACATAAACAGAATAAATGCTTAACTAAGAAAAATAATTGTTGAAATAACTGGAGGTAAGAAGTACCAAAAAGGACTAAAAAAATCACAATCCACTTTCTACAATTATTCATATTCCTTACAAAACTAAGCCTTACAAATATATCTTGTCAAAAGTTTTAACACAACTACACAATAATACTCTTTCTTATACACTTTGATCAAATTAAAAGAAAAATTTGGCTCCCATTGGCAGTTTTATATAAAAGGAATGTCTGCTTTACTAAATGCAAATTTTCTTAATGTTAATATCATCTGTATGTGAAATTAGTTAAAATATTCCTTAAGAATACATTGTTCTTTTCTAATCATCTGTGCTGAAATCAACAACAAAAACATCTGCTCTTATCTGAAAACAAAACTATATTTAAAACACAGTTTAAACTCTATGATGTTCAGATCACTCTAGAGTCAAATAAATATTTGGAGGAAAAAATGTTCATAAGTTGCATTTATCCAAAGATGTTCTTAATAAGCAGGGAAATTATTAAAATAGTTTTAAAATAACAAAATTACACCAAGAAATAGTTATACTGTAAGCACAGTTTACATTAAGTTAAAATTGATCTCCATCATGCAAAAATAATAATTCTTTTGCAAAGCCACCAAAATTCCTTGTCAGGCAACATAGCAAGGAATGGGATGTAAGAATATCAGAGAAATGAGACTGAGCTAGAAAAGCATGGGTACTCACAAGGATTGGTACTCACATGAAGAGAAAACTCAATCATGACTGAGAAACAGACTCCTGGAGAAACTCTGTAAACACTAGAGCCTCAAGTCAGGGCAGAAAGAAGTCAGAACTAGGCAGATGAAACTCAGAACAACTGATAAGTCTGCTAGAAAGTCACATGATGAGGTTGCTTCTAAAAATAGGCTACAAAATAGGACTAGGGTAGGAGAAAATTATAGGGAGTTCTTATCCAAATCAGTTTATAAACTATCTAATGATATTATGAAAAAGAAACATTAATTGAGAACTTATCCTATTCTGTGATTCCATTTCAAGGCAGTTAAAATGAGTGTAGTGCAATATGGCATCCTTGGAGTTGACCAAAGGTATTTGTAAGATGTCTATTTCATTTCCTTCCATTGAATGTTTGATCTTTTGAACTTACTTTTCCAAGTGAAAATCACTCCCCAGTTTCAGAGAACAGCAGGAATCAAGAAGTCTCCCACCAGTTGAAATAAATTAGGTCTATGAATTGAAAAGACCCTGCCTTGTACCTGAGTTTCAGTAACAGGGTTACATTCCCCATTTCCTGTAAAATCAAGCCCCATTAGTTCCAGTAACCATTTCCTGCTCCTCTCTCTCAAGCCTAACTCCTTTCCTCAATTACTTTGCCTAAGAAAGAGTCTGGTTCTGAAGTCTTGTCTTTCTATTCCGACCAGCCCCTAACCCCTCTCCATCCCAGGGCTTCATCCCCCTTTCTGGATGCTGCTGGTCTGCTAGCCTGGGCCTTTTATCACTTACTAAGCAGACTGGTGGTAGTGTCTCCTATATTCTCACAAATGTGTCTGTTCTTTAGGATCCTAGCATTTCTCTTTGACCCACCCACTGTCCTGGAGCCATGTTGAAAATACCATGTGGTCTCTACCATTTGCATTGGTCTCAGCATTGTTAGGTTATAACTGTAAAAATTATTTTTTTTAAAGAAAGTGAGTATTTGCGGCAACAACATGATTTTTATCCTTAAACTTAACTGAGTATCATGCTCAATGTCAGGCATATATTTGATAATTCAGTATTCCATCATGAAAAGTCAGATTTCTAAAAGTACGTTGTATCATTTTTCTCTTTTTCATTCTCCTCATTTTATTATTTCCTGCATTTTAACATTTTAGTTTTCTCTCCCCATTTTATTATTTTTGGCATTTTGCTCAGTGTTTTAATTTTCTAATTTTCCTTATTCCTTAATGTGTATGTGATGTTTTGTGCTATGTTTTCCTCTGTGATAATTCATTTTCACTTATCTTCTCTTTTTATTTAAAACTCATAACCAACATCATTTAGTCTAGGACAGCATAATGGGTCCAAGAAAGAAAAATAAAAATCTGCCAGTTTTCTGGTTGAGACCTGAAAAAAAAGCACATTTTAAGCGGTCTCTATTATTAAGGGGATTACATTAAATAGGAATGATCTTTACAGCATAGGAACTTTACCTGCTGTAGTTGGCGCTTCTTCATCGGATGCTATGATGAGAAGAAAAGAGATAAAGTGGGGAAAAGGAGAGGATGGGAAAGGGGTGAGAGGGAGAGGGAGAGGAAGAGAGAGAGAGAGAGAGAAATTGAGATTGAACATAAATAAATTTCACATTTCTACATAATGACTACAAGTCCCTGACTTGTAACTTTGAGTATACATTAGAAATTTGTCATTAGATAATTACAGGTTAATGGATATTTACATCAATCTAACACTTAAATAATCTTATACATTAAAATAAGAAATAGAAAATAAGAAATAGAAAAGAGCATACAGTTGTCTGAATTTGAATTTCCCATTCTTTTACAAACAAGATTGATTTTTTCAGTTTGACTGTAAATTATAATTATTAGAAATAATAATTGTTTGAAATATAAATTGTATATCACATGTAAACACCCCACTCATCACCACTTTGTGGGAATTTTCTGCTAGCAAAGAGGAATGAAGGGGTATTGTTGTTTTAGTCAAAAGTTTTGTTCCGTGAGGGAGAAATTATACAAAGATAGCAATTACTAAGACTCAGAATCACTTTGCGTGTTGGTTAGACACAAAGATTCTGTCTTTCTCTCTCCATCACACACACACACAAATGCACTCAACTCATGTGTACCACACACTTCAGGATTCTGTAGCAGTGGTTCTGTGGTGAAGCCATAGGAACCTGCATTCTAAAGGTTGATCCCAACTGATTTTGACACAAATATTTTACAGACCATACATGGATAAACAAGGATATTATACAAACAAAGGCCACATTATGGAAATACAACTTTAAGCTAAAACAGCGGTTCATAACCCTGAATCTCTATAAGAATGCCAAACTCTGCCCCACCCCACCAAACCAGTTAAGTCAGACTCTCTTTCAGTGGCTCACTTGTGGCCAGGACTGAGACACTACTAAGTAGTATCAGTATAATGTGAGATGAACCGTAACTCAAAATGTTAGTTATTTTGGTTCCTGCTTTAAAGGGGAGAAATATATGAGAGCAGCAACACTTCAAGGGTAATAAGGTGCTGTGCTTAAGTCCGGGAGGTAGCGTGGTGGTTGCAAGAGGGAAGGAGCCTCACAATTTCTCCCTCAATCCACCTTTTCACCTTCCTACCAACAGACTGACTCTGTGAGAAGACATTTCTGCTCTGTGCACAAACACAGCTTAACCAGAAAATTACTTTTGAATTATATGACTCTGGCCAGTACTCCTTCATTTGATTCACGAAGTTTTAAAATAAAAATTTACTCAGCTGAATTGCTTATAAAGGAGCTTTGTCCCCAAGTGATTCATTCATCAAGGTATCACTGTGCAACTAGGGAGCGGTCTCCACTATTTTCCGTTAAGGTTACATCTGCACAGAGTACACATTAAACAAGCTTACTTTGTGTCCTGACAGTATTTTCGTCTCACACTGTTTGGCTTGTCTCTTTGGCACCAAAAAAAAAAAAAAAAAAGAGAGAGTGAGGAAACACACTTGGCATGCATGGTGTGGAGAACATAAATATTTAAAAAGCTGTTTACTGCTTTATCATGTCCAAAATATTATCACAACACATACAAGGAAAACTGTCGCTGGCTTCCAGGAATTCCCTTTTAGGAAAATACCACTGGGACCTGTAGAAGTGCTGACTGAGATGGGTCATTATTAGTAAAAGTCTGGAGATTCAAAAGGAAAGGGACCACTTTTAACTGGTCCCTTTGTGTATGTGAACTCAATTAATAAAGCAACCTATAAGATGAAATTACTCTTATCTGATAGATGAATATACAGAGACGCAGAGTGACTGAGCAATTTGTCTAAGGTCAATTTGAATTTGAGCTCGCGTGACTTTAAGACCACTCTTTCCACGCTGCCTCACTGCCTCACTAAGTGCTGATTCAGTATCCACTTAGAAAGAACGGGAAAAGGGAGAAAGGGTCAAGGAACACAGACTGGCTAGATCTCTAATTATGTTCGTTGGACTTAGCTTAACAAACAAGAACAAAATCAAAAACTGGATGTAAGGGCTACAAGAGAAATCCATTTAAGAAATGAAATGCTCCCTGGGAAACGACTTCAAGTCCCTATAATCCAGAATAGACACAGCTAGGTGAGAACCTGACTAGGTAGTTAAAGAAAACATCCTAAGCCAAAAATGCCTAAGAAAGAAAGATAAGACATGCTAAGATTTTATTCCTCCATTATCTAGGTAAGAAAGAAATTTTAGGAAAGAACTAGCAATCACAGAAGTAAAGACAATTCCAGATTTACAGGACTCATAGCAATTAGGTAATCTTAAAACCACAACCCCTGGGGCAAGTAGTGCATTTACCTATGCTTCAGGCTATAATACCTGAAAGCATGCTTGTAACAAATTAACAGTATTAGAATCAGCAGGTACACAAGTCTGCATAGAATTCTGTTTCTGTGCAACATCTCCATAGTGGTGGTTCCTCATAATATGTAGATGTAACTAGATTTATGCTATTAATCAACATACATATTATTAAGATATATACACACTCACAAAGACACATACAGGGTTAGGATTGGTATTAATTTGCTGTTTCAGTGATCAGTGACCAAGATGCTGTGAAGGCTAACTGTATTAACAAACAAAGCATCGTGAACTATTAACAGGTGGTAGCAAGAGCCCCCAGAGTACAAATAAATCTAACAGTGGACATTAGTGGCCCATTTAGTGACATTAGAGTGAAATTAAGTATCACAGAAGTAACGTCATATTATCCAAATGATTCCTTACTCTTCCTGTTTGCTTCTTGGAACTCATAGAGTTAGTAAATTAAAAAAAACATATATGTGTATGTATATGTGTACATATATGTGTGTATGTATATGTGTGTATACACACACACACACTTGTGTATATACACACACACATAAGTCTGTGTCACATGCAAGTTCCTCTAATCCTGGAAATTAAAACCATACATACCAAGAAAATAAAAATAAACTGACAAATAACTCTGTATTGTTCTGGCTGGTGACAATGCAGAAGAATTTACTGAAATTATGCTGATGATAGGAAAACACACAGTAGAAAGACCTATCTGATATACAGAATTTAATTCAGTGTGGTCCTCTCATTGCACATCACTGAATTGCCTGGGCGTCTGTTAAAATGCCACAGATCTAAAGAATTTGAATTTTGGGTGTTAGCCCAGGTCTCTGCATTTTTGGAAAGCTCAGCAGGTGACTGCTATGAAGACTAAATGTTGAGAATTATGACTCTACCCATAGAAAGTTTGTTGCAGAGCCATGGGTCCAGTTGCTGGAACTGCAGCAGTAAATGAACACTGTGGTAATATGCACTGTGTTTCATCAGGCTTCAATGTTCTTTTTCTTGTAACGTCTTCAGGTTTATGTGGGCATCTACGTCAATGTCTTGGGGGAAGATGACCCCTGCCTGGGATTTAGAAAGAAAGTCTGTATCTTAGAACCAAGTGAGTCTTTTTCCTTTTCCTGGCCATAGTTACTGGTCTAGGGAGGTATATGACCCATCTGGGGACAATAACGTGTAAGGAGAGGCTTGCATGTGTTTGCGTGAGGACAGGCTCTTGGAAGGACACTTTCTTCGGAGAAAGCATCTGCTAATAACCTTCTCTCTCACTCCTTTAGATATGGACAAGGAAGTCTGTGGCCCCAGAAGTAAGTTGGCAGATATCTTGCCACCATGATTGGAGCACGTTTCAGGAAAAAGCCAAGCCTCAAAGACTGAGTAGATAAACAAAAAGAAATTAGATTATTGATAATATTATTGGGCATGGAATCATATCTTGACCTCACTCTAGACTTCCAGTTCTGAGGAAAAATACTTCCACTTTATTGTTTATCTAGTTTTAGTTGAGCTTTCTCTTACTTGCGACTAATGGCATTCTGCTGCAACCATAACCAGTTTCATTGTTTCCATTTAAAATATATTAGAATGCATAAAACATTAATTACCTCTGAGGCAGGCACATCTGGAGCTGTGCTTTCAGAAGGAAGCTGGGCTTTCAGCAAGTTTTAATTTTAATTTTTCCACAGTTTCCCACCATGTTTTGATACAATAAACCTATCCCTCTGATTCTTAAGTTGGGCAGTTTTTTCAGGACAGTCTGGCATTATACATGTTCATGAATTGGGCTGGTAACAGGATCTACTGTCAGGTACAAATAATTACCCACTGAGCTGTGTATCACCTTGATATACATACACTATTAAAACACACATACTTCTTCATTGGACAGGGTCTAATCTTTTTATGTGGGTTCAACTGTTCTTGTATCTCCTGCTTTGGTTTGCCTTATCCTTAGATACTTAGATACTTAGATACTTAGATGTCTTAAGTAAACTTTCATAACTTGGAAAATTTATCCATTTAAAATAATTCTATACCCAGTGTGACTCACTATCAAATAGGAAAAGCTCATTATGAAATATATAAAATACATTTCTTAGCATATTATAATCTACTTTACATAAAGATGTTATGCAGTTCATATTGACTTGTGCATCATTTTGGTTGCTGTATTATAAATTTAGTTAATTATGCATCAACTATGCTTTGCAAGTATACAGTTATACATGTAATTCATTACTTCCATGAGCAAAGCAACAAGAAATATGTATTCTTATTCTCACATTTTAGTATGTTTTTATTCAACTGAAGTGATGCAAAAATAACAATGATGATATTTACACATTATTATTCATGCCTACCCAGATGTTAAATGCTATAAATGTGTGTGTGTATGTGATCACTATGGCAAAGAAGAGTAAATTATCATTTCAAATTTGTGAACTCAGTCATTTGAGTAGGATGTGCAGTTGCCTCTGGACGTTTTCAGAGAAATATTTAGAGAGAGGCATTGGTTTATATAGTCTTTATTGTCTGTCTGTTGAATTGTTTGTTCTTTGCCAATGGCCCAATGAGGACATGCCTCAGGACTTAAAAGTTGCTGTTACCAACTCCTTCTTTGCGAAAATACAAAGAAAAATATTAGTCTCT